CTCCTCCCTGCTCCTCTCCTCCTCGCCCTCCTCGTCGCCACACCTCCTCCTCCTCCTCCTCCTCCTCCCCTCCTCCTCCTCCTTCCTCGTGTTCCTCCGAGCCTCCGCCCTCGTCATCATCATCAGCAATCAGCATTAGCATCAGCATCAGCATCATCTCATCAACCCTCATTATCATCATCAGCTCATCATCATCATCATCATCATCATCATCATCATCATCAGCATCATCATCTTATCATCATCATCTTATCATCGCATCATCATAATCACATCCATCATCATCATCGCCATCATCATCGCAGCATTATTCATCATCCGTCTCGTCCTCTCCCCCCTCCTCCTCCTCTCCTCCTCCTCCGCCTCCTCCTCCTCCTCCTCCTCTTCCTCCTCCGCCTCCTCTTGTCCTCCTCCTCCTCCTCCTGCTCCTCCTCCTCCTCCTCCTCCTCCTCCTCTCTCCTCCTCCGCCTCCCTACTCCTTCTTCTTCCTCCTCATCCTCCTTCTCCTCCTCCTCCTCCTCCCTCCTGGGACCCCGCCCTCACCCTCACCCTCCTCGTCGCCTCCCCTCCTCGTCGCCCTCCCTCCTCATCCTCCCTCCTCCACCCCTCCTCCCCTCCTCCTTCTGTTCCTTCTCCTCCTCCTCCTCTCCTCCTCCTCCTCCTCCTCCTCCTCCTCCTCCTCATCATCCTCATCAGCAGCATCATCATCTCTCCTCCTCCTCTTCCTCTTCCTCCTCCTGATCATCCTCCTCCTCCCTTTTATCCTCCTCCTCCTCCTTCCTCCTCTTCATCCTCGTCATCGTCCTCCGCATCCACCTCCTCCTCGTCCTCCTCCTGTTCATCATCCTCTTCTTCCTCCTCATCCTCCTCCTGCTCCTCCTCTTTCTCTTCCCCCCTGTCCCTCCTCATGTTCCTCCTCCTGCTCATATTCCTATTACGGTTCCTCCTGGCCTCTTCCTCCTCATCCTGCTCCTCCTCATCAACATCATCATTCTCCTTATCCTCTTCCTTCTCCTCCTCCTCCTCCTGCTCATCCTTCTGCTCATCCTCCTCCCCCTGCTCCTCCTCCGCCTCCTCCTCCACATCCTCTTCATCCTCCTCCTCCTCCTCCTCCCTTCATCCTCCTCCTCCTCCTCTCCCCGGCCTCCGCCTCCTCTCCTCCTCCTCCTCCTCTTCTCCTCTTCCCTCCTCCTCCGCCTCCTCCTCCTCCTTTCTCTTCTCCTCATCCTCCTTTTCCTCCACCTCCTTCTCCCTCCTCCGCATCCTCCTCCTCCGCTCACCTCCTCCTCCTCCTCCTCCTCCTCCTCTCCTCCCTCCTCCTCCTCCTCCTCCGCCTCCTCCTCCTCCTGCTCCTCCTCCTCCTACTCCTCCTCCTCCTCCTCCTCATCCTGCTCTTCCTCCGCCCGTCCGCTCCTCGCTCCTCTCTCCTCCTGGCTCCTCCAGCTCCTCCTCCTCCTCCTCCTCCTCCTCTCCTCTCCTCCTTTTCATCCCCCCTTCATCCTTCTCCTCCTGCTCCTCATTCTCCTCCTCGTCATCATCAGCAGCATCGTCATCAGCAGCATAATCAGCAGCCTCATCCTCATCATCCCGCCCTCAAATTCATCTTCTCCTTCGCATCCTACTCCTCCTTATCCTCCTCTCCCTCATCCTCTCCCTTCTTGCCCTTCCTCCTCCTACTCCCTTTTCATCATCATCAGCAGCATCGTCGTTATCAACCTCCTCCTCCGCCTTTTCCTCCTCCTCCTCCTCCTCCTTCTCGTTCTCACCCTCCCCCATCCCCGTCCCCCCCCTCCCTCTCCTCATTAGCATCATCCTCCACCGCCGCCGCATCCTCCTCCGCGTCCTCCTCTTCCGCGTGTTCCCCCTCCTGCTCTTCTCCCCTTTCCGGCGCGTACTCCTCCTCTTGTTCCCCTTCATCCGCTTCTTCGTCCTTATCCGCCTCCCCCCTCCTCCTTATTCTCCCCATCCTCCTCCTCCTCATCATCATCTTCACCCTCCTCATCCCCATCAGCATCGTCCTCCTCCTTCTCCTCCTCCTCTTCCTCATCCTCCTACTCCTCCTCATCAGTATCCTCTTCATCGTCAGCATCCTTCTCCTCCTCATCCTTCTCTTCCTCCTCCCCGTCCTCCTCATCATCATCGTTAGCAGCAGCATCATCAGCGGCATCCTCATCATCAGCATCAGCATCCATTTCCTCCTTCTCCACCACCTCCTCCTCATCATCATCATCATCATTGGTATCCTCCTCCGCCGCCTCCTCCTCCTCCTTCTCCACCTTTCCGTTCCTACCCCTCAACATCCTCCTCTTTCTCATTATCCTCCTCCTCTTCCTCCTCCTCCTACTCCTCGTCCTCCTCGTCCTCCTCCTCCTCCGCGTCCTCCTCCTCCTCCTCATCCTCATCCTCGTGTTCCTCCTCCTCCAACTCCTCCTCCTCCTCCTCCTTCCTCCTCCTCCTCCTCCTCCTCCTCCTCCTCCCCCTCCTCCCCCCCCTCTTCCGAATCATCCTTCTTCTCCTGCTCATGGTCATGCTCGTCCTCCGTCCTCTTCGCCTCCTCCTCTTCTTCCTCGTCCTCCTCCTACTCCTCCGACTAGGCTTCCCTGTTCTCCTCCTCCTCCTCCTCCTCCTCTCCTCCTCTCCTCCTCCTCCTCGTCCTCCTCCTCGTACTATTCCTCCTCCTCCTTTTCCTCCTCCCGTCCTTCGACTCCTCCTCCTCCGCATTAATCCGCCTCCTCATCGTCCGCCTCCTCATCCCTCCTTTCCCCTCCTCTCCTCCTCCTCCTCTTCCTCCTCCTCCTCCTCCTCCTCATCCTCCTCCTCCTCCTCTCATAACCTGCGGCACCCCCAGACACTGCACAAAGAGATCAAGTTGATGTGCGGCAGGAGGCCCTCCGCGAAGGTTCGTACAATCATGTGCCGAGCCAAAGGTTGGAAGGACCCGCTGAGCGACCAGCCTGACATAGACTTCCGTCCGAAAGGCAAGTGTCGCGCGGAGCCGCAAAGATATCTAGACACGTCCGCTGTGCTCCTCGACCACGGACTCACCTTCCCTGAAGCTTTGGAGTTGGGAGCTCCAAGAGAGGACGACAGTGATGACGATGTCGACCCTGATATGGTGTAGCGACACGCCTTGGAGTTTGCCATCCAAATCCTGGTATACCCAGGTTCGTGTCGCCACCCCTCTGGCCCCTGCTAGGGCACCCGCACGCTGGACTTGGTCGCGGGCGGGCAACAGCGCATGCAGGGGCGGGGGGGGTTTTGCTGGACATTGCAGCTCGGGCGTCGTGGTGTTTGATCCAGCCTGGCTGAACTTGTTTTGCTTTTTCGCCGACATCTTCGGCGCGTTTGGCCCCTTCCTCCTGCTGGTGCTGCTGGGCCAGGCGAAGTTCGGCACCGTGCTGGACTCTTGTGTCGTGGTCTTCCCAGTGTACCACGTGTGCGAGGGCCCCCCGCTCGTGGCGCTGGGAGCCCTGTGGGTGCTCTTCCCCGCCGCGGCGGGCCCCGTGCTGGTGAGCACGGGCCTGCCGCAGGCCCCGTGCACCCTGGCCGCCCGCGCGGCCTTCTGCGGGGCAGGCATGCCCCTCACCCCCAGCCCTGGTGCTTGCAAGGTGGTCCTGGCCTTCGGGCTCCATCGTGCAGGTGCTAGGGAAGGGGGTTGAGGGGTGTGCCTGCCCTCTCTCTGCCTGGATCCAACCGCCCCTCGGCTTCTGCTCGCTCGCTCGCTCGCTCGCTCTACCTATTCCTCCTCCCTACCGCCTCTTCCTCCTCCATCCTCCTCTCCTCCATTCCTCCTCCTCCTCTCCTACTCTCCTCCGCCTCTTCCTCCTCTTCCTCCTCCTCCTCCTCCTCTTTCTCCTCCTCCTCCTCCTCCTCCTCCTCCAGCTTCCTCCTCATCCTTCGTCTCCTCCTCTTCCTTCTCCTCCTCCTCCTCCCCTCCTCCTCCTTCTCCTCCTCCTCCTCCTCCTCCTCCTCCTCCTCCCCTCCTCTCCGCTCCTCTCCTCCTCCTCCTCCCCCTCCCCCTCCCTCCCTCCCTCCCTCCCCCTTCCCTCATCCGCCTCCTGCTGCTTTCTCCTCTCCTCCTCCTCCTCCTCCTCCTCTCCTCCTCCTCCTCCTCCTCCTCCTCCTCCTCCTCCTCCTACATCCTCATCCTCATCCTCATCCATCCTCCAATCCTCCTCCTCCCTCCCCCTCCTCCTCCCTCCCCTGCTCCTCCCTCCGCCGCTCCTCCTCCTCCGCCTCCGTCCTCCTCCTCCTATTCTCCTCCTACCTCTTCCCAATCCCCCTTCATCTTTCTCCTCCTCCTCCCCAATCCCCTCATCTTCCTCCTCCTCCTCTTCCTCCTTCTCCTCCTCCTCCTCCTCCGTCTCCTCCACCTCCTCCTCCTCCTGTCCGTAGCCATTTTGGCTCAGGCCGTGTTCCCCGCTTTCTCCGCAGCCCTTTCGCCCATGTTCGGCGGCTCGGCGGCGGCGGTGGCGGGCGCGCCCTGGATGGCTGCGGGGGGCTGCCCGCCGATGTGGCGGCCCAGTGTTTTGAGGATCATCGAGAAGGACTTCCTCGGCGCCTCCGCGGCGAGGCGTGCTGCTCGACGGCGCGGTCGCGCTGCTCTGGGAGCAGCTCTGCGGCCGCTTGTGGCGGCTCGCGGCGCCCCAGGCTCGTGGGTGGACCGCGAGCGCGCGTCGAGGCCGGCTCTGCAAAGGATTGCCGCAGGAGATCGTGTTCCTGGCGCGATGCGGCTGAGGCGGAACGCCGCCTGGCACGCGTGCCGAGTGCCGCCTGGCGGCTCCACAGCCGCGTCCTCGGCGGATCTGTCCTGGGCTGCTGCTGGGCCTCGGCTGGGGCACACTGCTGGTGGCATGCGGGCTGAGGCCGCGTCGTTCGTGCCGCGGGCTGCATGCCGTGCGTTGGGCGTGCGGTGCAGCTGCGGGGCGGTCGCTTTCTCATCGTGCTGCTTGCCACCTCCTGCTGACGGCCTGGCGTCGCCCGACGCGTCGCTCGTGGAGGATGAAGGATCCGAGGCGCCCGAGGGGGAGCGGTGGGCAGGCCCTGGGGAGGCCACCGCCTGCTCGTCCTCCCCGATGGCGCCGCCCTGCTCAGACGCGACCCTGGCCTACCTGGAGGCGCACCCTGCTGCGGTGCTCAATGGGTGCAACGAGGCCGAGGACGGGAGCTGCCACGTGAAGGTTCCGGCGGTGGAGGTGGAGGGCCTCGGCGGTTTCGTGGCGTCGGACTGCGTGGGCCCCTCCAAGTGCGACGTGTCCGTCTCTGGCTCGGACTCCCAGCAGTACCAGAATACCACCGCCGAGGCGACCGCGGAGGACTTCAGCGAGAAGATCAGCGAGGCGATCCGTGAGGCGGGCCTCGTGCGGCGGCTGCCTGTAGTACCGCCGTGGCTGCTCGAGGTCTCTGGTTCTGATCCTGGTTGCGCCCGTTGCGATGGTACCCTCGTTCGTCGGCGACGCGGGCCAGGGAGGTGCTCATGCAGGGCATGCGGAGTGCCCATTCCTCGTGGCGCGGTTGTGGCAGCCTGTCCGCGCTGCCGTGCATCGTGGCACAGTTCGTGTCTCAGGCGTTTGTTCGACGAGGATTGGGACGACTCTGGCAGCTCTTCATGATGCCGTGCGTGCTCCTGTCCGTTGAGGTCTTCTTCGGGTTCATGCTTGTGGTGGGCTTCGCGGCAGGTGTGACGTCAGCGGCGGGGCAGGGCTGGTGGCGAAAGTGGCAGGTGGCGCCACCCAGCCCTGCCCCCTCCTCTGGGGGGAGGCGCCGTCCCCCCAGAGAGTATGGCTTGGCAGTTGTCGATGTT